TATTACCCTTTGCTTAACCTGGACATTGCTAACGTGGTGAATTCACCATACGCGAACAATGCTTCAAGAACATCTATGATCATCTGCAACGGCTTCATATTTTCTATTATTAATCGCCATGTCTCACAACTGTGTGACAAGAGAGAAAGAAGTGTGGTGCAGTATACTCGTCCTTTAGTAGGTAGTCCGATATCTCGCTGCGGCTGCAACGCATCTGTAGTAATGATCTGACTTCGTCGACAACACTAGCCTTTCCCACACATCTCCTTCAGTAGAACCATATATTTTGGGTACTGATGCTATTTTGGCAGTGCTGTAACATTTGACGAGTCCGAGAAGTTCATCGCATATCCCAGTCGTAAGTTAGGTAAGAGAGAGAGAGAGAGAGAGAGAGAGAGAGAGAGAGAGAGAGGGAGGGAGAGAGAGAGAGAGTAATTATTTTACTACATGACAAGAAATGCTTGCCCTTATATACTTCTTGAACCACTTCTGACATTACCCGTTGGTCCATGACATACCAAGTCGAACAGATCACAGAGCTTTATAACGGTTATGCAATTTCCGGGATGCTGAGGGTTAGATTGCTCGTCCACATGAGCGACCAAAAGAGTTTGATTTTAACAATGAATACTGAAAAGGATCACATCACTAGTATGCTGACACACTATCCCGTGTCTCACCCAACTGTGAAACACTTAGTGCCTTGCTAACCACCGACGAATAAGTAGATTTGGGCGCCCTGGAAGCAGCGGACACAAACTTCCGAATAGTCGATGAGTTCCAACTGTGTGGTAATGACAAACCGTCTAGTTAGAAGTTGGAGGATATGATATTACTAAGTAACGGTCCGAGTTGCCACACCTCAAATCACTACATCAAGTAAAAAGACAGTCAAGTGGAAGATGAAGAAGGGAGAAAATTCAGTCAAAAGAAATACAAAGTACTAAAAGAGAGAAAGGAAGAATGAGAAAATGGTGAGACTCAGTATAGCGTAGTTAAGATGAGGATAATGTGTGTGTATACATCTGCGCCATCGACATCGGTTCTCAGTCATGATGTATCACCTAGAGTCTCCAATCACTGGTTCTTCTTGTCCCGCCGACCCCAACCACCAAGTCAGCATCGCCCCACATGGCTCAAACCAACAGTCAAAGACTACATACATTGATGCTGTGTTGTAGTCTGGCCACCTCAGGTCTTTTCCCAGTCTGAACCCACTTCGGCCAACGCTGTGTGACAAGGCAGACGGCAACTAGGCATGTTAATTCGAATCACTCATTGTAGCACAGATAACCGACCTTAAGCAAAAGTAGTACTGTGCCCTGGCTGAACAATTTCTAATTTATATGAACTATGATCAAGATTTGACTGAATTGTATTGTAAATGTTGGCGGACAAGCCGTGACTTATACAAATACAAACTATATGTCTAACGTCACTCCTAAATTTGCTTAGAAAATGTACACACTATATTGATACTTTTCAAGTCTTCTTGTTTCTCCTAACTAACTACTTTATCAACAAGGCTTTCACTAAAAAATCAACCAATCGAATCCAGAGGTTATCATTAAGCCCTCTAAGAGAAAGAAAAGTGTTATAAACCGACCAAAACTACCATTTATGTTATTCATTAGGATGTTACATTAACATATTATGTTCAGTCAGGAAGAACAGTTTGAATAGAGACACTTTTGAATGTGTGTGAAAGTATTTGACACTGAGTACTCAAAAGAGACTAAAAATAATTAGCAAAGGGTGGACGCATATATATAAACCTAAGCTATGTAAAACAAACGGGTTTCGAACAAGTAGTCTTCTGTATCGACTACTACTTTCCAAGAGAGAATATTATGACAAAATCATTATCTGATTCAGTCAACAACACTTGCCTAGATGGGCGATATAAAGTTAAAAAGTAACATCCATGTAAACATTTTCTGCCTACGGTGTGGAAAAGTATAACTAAGCTAAAAGTACTTGACTTTCATAAGGTATCCTTATGAACTCACACTGATTTGTTGCTCTTAACAGAAATAAACATATTTTACAGGATCTTTCAATAAATGGATATATATATATACTTAGTTTAACTGAAACCGAGATCCACTCAGCATTAGCCTATGGATCGAACCACTTGTCTGAGGGTTAATGATATACTAACTGGTTGTCCAGACCTGGATAGGCGGAGCAAGGTTTGAACCGGTGATCCAATGGTTAAAAGATGAGTGTCTAGATTGATACGCTATAGCATAACTGTAAGAACAAAGAGTACGTCATAATGTCTAAGTTTATAGACTCATATGGACAAAAAATAAGCTTGAATTATTGGTACACAAGGAATACGGACAAACATATACAAACAAATCGAAATGTATACACATATGATTATTTCAGTAATGATTAAGGTTGATAAGTTCCTTAACCTGAACAAAAATAATCGAACAATTACAGATTATACTTATTCAGTCAATTAATTTATAATTATGTATAATATAAACTAACTGACAGACAGATTGTATTTTAGTAATTAAGATAAAATAAACTTTTTTCGATCTTGTTTTACGACAAATAAGAATGTACGACATTATACACTTCAATCGAACTATTTACACTGAAGTGATTACAAACTAGGCGCGTCAATCATTCCATGTCAAGAGATATTTTAATTAGACGGTTTTCATTATTTCCATATACATAAATCAATTAGTGTAACTAAAATTGTCCGTATTAGTTAGTTGATCTGATCTATTTAGATATATTCAATCTATCCTGTTCGACTCAAACGTTTGTTATTGGATGATGATGATGATTGAAGGTGTAATGAAAATCTGGATGTCGGAACGATTCCAATCACTAGCCTTGAGTGCAAGCAGTTGACACTTCCTAGCTATCAACGCCATAGAAGGTCATTTCATCTTAAAGCATCTAGAAAAAGTAAAAGATATGTGTGACCGCAAAACTCATCAGAGATCTGTTTGAGACATGTTATACCCAGCCTTTTGAAGACTGTTCTAACGCCAGAAAGAAAGAATACATCGCCGGCATTGGAAGGCCGTGGAGCAGGGAGGAGTATGCAGTCTTGAGGGTTGACCTTATCTAACCCCTCCCTACCCATAATAAAGGGCAGCATCAACGTGGCACTGCTGGTCATCCTAGGGAATTATCTTCAAACCCCCCATCATAGTGTAGCAATCTACACTACAACAGTAACTGATTTCCGCCTTACCACTATCCAAAAGACCCTTCCATCATGATAGAACCTGAGGGATGAAGCATTCCAGCCACTGTAGATCGCTGTTATTGTGATATACAAGCCCAACCACCACACCGAGTTAGCAGCTGTCAACCAGCACAGTGGCCTCGAAGTCAACGACCCAACGGCTATGCCACATGAGCTATATTTTTATTGTAAGGTGATACTTTAACTGTTGGTCAGTATTTTTTTTAATGACAGAAAAAACCCTTACCAAGGATTACAAGAAGCATGACTAGAAATTTTCAATATGAAAAGAAATTATTCACAGTCAGCAGTGAAGTAGTAGTATGTCTACCTGCTTGGTTGGGGTCCTTGAGATAATAAGAATTCATGGTCGGAGACCCTTGGTGACATAGATGAAAACAGATCACATTGATGAAGATGCATTTCCTCTTTAATCTTTTCTACAGTTTGGATATGTTAACTAACCTTAATTTTCAAAATTCCTTCTCCTATACATTATTGTCCAATTTGATATCGCCCTTTCTCTATCCACTTCGGCTTTCCGAGTTGCTGTGAAATGTGAGGCGTTCTATATTCGTATACTTTTGCCATAGTTTCTGTAAGTATGAAAACGCTGACTAATTGGTAAACCTAGTCCGACAGGTATTTGCCTCAAATAAACCTTTTTCTAAGTATATAAATAGAAAAGTTCAGTTCATAAGTCCATCCATCCATCCAAATCAACATACCACCAGGCATTACTGCATAACGGTCCAAGTTGCCACACCTCATATCACTACATCAAGTAAAAAGGCAGTGAACTGCAAGATGAAGAAAAGGAAATTCAGTTAATAGAAATATAAAGTACGAAAAGAGAGAAAGGAAGAATGAGAAAACGGTGAGCTTTGGTATGACGTTAAGATGAGGATAATGTGTGTATACATGTACGCCACTGACATCGGTTCTGAACCATATCGCCTAGAGTCTTCAACTACTGGTTCCTCTTGTCCCACGGACGACAACAAGGTAGAAAGTGTGTGAGGCAACCGGATTTTAACCACAGGTCTTTCCACCTGTAGTCGACAGCTCTATCAATTAGCTATATTCTAGGTTCATAAAATATCCGGATTTTAGAAGTTGCATCTATAAAGCGGTTAAATACCACATTACTCGTCTTCATAAAATAGTTCAGTCTACAGTTTGGCTGGAAATGAGAATGATTTAATTTTTGCGAAAATTTAACTCACCGGTCTAAGCACTCAACTTTTAACCATACAATGGGTAATAATTTTCACTTGCCCGACACCTACTAAGATTTCAGCAACCCCGGAGAAACAGAAAACAAGAACAGAGTTATCCTCTCTTCGACGTAAAGGTGAGTAAACAGGACTTCTATTACAGACTATGCGATAAAAGTGAGGGATTTCAATTTGAAGGTTTGTAGGGATTTATTGATTGATTTCAGGTTAGTATTTATCGTTTACTGATATCAGTTGAAGAAATATTTGAAACTCGGGAGCACTGGATAGCTATTTAGTCTTAATATAGGACCCCTTAGCAGTGTGCACACATGAACCCACCAGGGATCGAACCCAGAACCTTGAGGCATATTCTCCTAGCATCACTATTGAATCAAGTTTGTATATTCAAGAAATATGATCGAAAAAATTTAGCACTTTAATTTTAGTCAAAAACGATGCAATACAACCGATTGAAATGAACAGGCTTTTGATAAACAGATATCTGACTAATTAGAAAGTAAGTATAACATACAAAATAATAAATAAAATAGAAGTTGTACCTTAAAATTTGCTTCCAATTTCTTAGATGTACTAATTTCTAACTTCAACTCTTTTTCTAAACGTTCTTGTTCTGATATAGCGGCTTCTTTAGCTTCAGCATCTTCTAATAATAGTGAACAATCTACTCGATTATCCAGATAGGCTTCAATTTGAACTTTTAATCGTGAACCAGAACGATCACGAATTTGCTAATAGATAAAGAGGAAATAATAATAATAATAATCAGTAAACATTGAGATAAACAAGATCATAATTATAGTTATACGTCATTTAGGGAATAAATCAATACTTAAAATCTGATTATCTGTCATTGGGTATTGATTCAGAAAAAAGTGGGTTATGACATGCTACATTGTGCTTGGTTGTATAATTTGACTACTATATTTTATTGTTATTTCTCGTATCCCGAGTTCGAGTCCCGGTGGGAATAACATCACCCACTGGGGTACAGGTACATCTAGATGATGGGTCCCAAATAGGACGAGATGCGCATCCTGGATTCTTCTGCCAGCCATCATCCATCATTAATATACTATATTTTATGTTGAAAGTCGTATGTGAGCAGTAAGGATTTAGGCATATATAGAGGGTAAGTAGAATAGATATTGATGAGACCGTGAGGCGATTGAGACATATGCTACGCAGGCTTAATCACTGTTTTACTTACACGCACGAAGCTGCAGCTCGTGGGTTCGAACCTTGCTCCCCCACCGAGGTTTGGGCAGCCAGGTGGTATCACTACCCATCACACAGAAAGTTGTGATTCATTGTCTGGTGCACGGATGTGTACAAAGAGGTTAAGTGCTTTTCGTTTCGTACTTACGCGCACAACGCTGACAAAAAGCAGCAGTAGGACAGTAAAGACATCTTTGATTATTGGTCTGTATCATGTGCAGAAGCTGAAGTCTCTATCGAAAAGTGGGGAGTAACTATGACTTTATAGATCCGCTCCAAGATAACATACCACGGCGGCGATGTAAAGAAGATCTAAACGATACGATTAAGTGGTGACGGATTTATGTTTCTGACTCGTGAAGACTGGGGATTATAGGTTGAGCCTAGTTGCTTACTATTGTGAACCTCCTCGTGTTCCCACTGGACATCAACCAATACGCAGGCAAGTTGAATAAGCGAAAAACCGTAGTTGACAATATCCATATAAGCGAAATTAGCGTTATGATTCTCCAAAGTACGAATAGTTTTGTAAGCCGTCAGGACTCCCCAGTGTGCTGACAGCAGTCCAATCAAAAGGTAAGGTGAATCAAGTTTCTCGATTGCGGTAGTCATTGTTGTTGAAACCATCCCAAAAGATGCGTGTATTTTGCATTGCGAAGGTGGAGGACATTCCTTCCGGAATGCCGGTGTCGTTAGCCTTAGCCTTCGTTCGATTTCAGTAAATTGAAAGAAGTCGCCGCCGTGAATCTTTCAATATTATGGGTTTATACACCAGATGTCGTAGAGGAATGTCCTTTTGAAGAGGGCAGCTGCACTGTCTGCAAGGTTGTGGAGACGAATACTACGCATGGCTGCCCGCGGGGAGGTGAATACGGTCAATAAATCACCATCCCTGAGAATGTGGATGCATTGAAGCTCGACATTTAGAAGCGTTCTGAGATAACACTCATCAGTTTCACGGAATGTTAACGGAATGCTCTGGCAGTAGTGTTTGCTTTCATATGAATGCGTTGCTTGGATGTTTCCTGCCAGGTGAGATGACCAATCCACCAGGTTTGTGTCGGAAGGTCCATAGATTTTAACACCAGCCAGGAAACTGGAGCTGAGTCGAAAATTGGAGTGAAATCTTAGATAATGGCAAAAATCTGTAGTTGAAGACCAGGTGATATGATTCGGAAAAGTCTGAGATGAGGCAGATGGATTGTTAGGGATGCTTATATCACATATATTCCACACTTACCAACTGTACATTTTGGACTGCTTTTTGCGCTCTACATGCGGGTCACATTTCCTATAAGCGGCTAGCGTTCTGGTTGGCTCCTGTCTCTTTAAATGTAATAATTATTTCTTTATCTTTCAAGGTTACTGCAAACTTTATAAATACGGTCCGCCTTTACTAATAAACGTTTTCAGTTTGAGACACTATAAACTCAAGTGATTACCAGTCTTCTGATTTCTATCTGTGAGTCACTCGGGTTGAATCTTCTCAGCCCTCAAGTCTTTGTCGTTAATTATTAGCGTTCTTTCTCGCAACTCTATATCGTAACATGCATTCACTGATATTTTTTCCTCCAAACGCTAAAATCCTTCATTACCATCATAACATTTCCTATTTTGTCTTCTAGCTTTCTTTTCATTTCTTGTTTGTTCACCTCTCCTCCTTGCAATGATGCAAAGAGTGGCAATATCTACCCAAAAATGTGATCCATTATTTGAAAGTTGAGCCATTAAGATATAGCTTTCACATATTGTCTAGCTAAGATATAGCAGTGACATCGAATGAAGAAACGTACGAAATATTTGCTAAATGATTTTTGAAGTGAACCTAAACAACGTCGATTATCATGCTCATCAAGTTGCTGGATGTTCAATGAACCGCACTGCCTGAGATACAATCGAGGTAATTTTGCCAGCGGTGGGGAATATGTGAGCTAAAACAACCCAGAAACACTATGTAACTGGTATTTACAGTAATCCTGGAAGCTAATGCATTCGTAGTGCACAAGATAATACGAGGAATACTTCAATTACTTGGGTAGCCGTCATGAAATTAAAATTTGCTTATGACCTGTTGTAATAGGTAATTATTATGACAGTAGGCTGGGATCAAAAAAACCTGAAATGTACTCAATGACCATGCACACATTTATGCAGTAGGCGATAAACTACACCGTTGCATGAGGATTAACGATACTATTTGGCTGCCTAAGCCTTGGTAAATGGAGTGGATTTCGAACCCATGACCCAATGGTTGTAAGTCAGCTCCGCAAAAGTAATGACTTAAAATTGTAAAAATAAACATATGGTCGTGTCGTTCAATCGGTCACTTGAAACTAAATATCTTACGTTAGGATATAGATGAAAATCATAAAATAGTAGTAACATTCCATCTATCCAGATCAACCTAGGACCAGACATTACTACGTAGTGGTCCGAGTTGCCACACCTCATATTAATACATCAAGTAAAAAGGCAGTGAGGCGCAAGATGAAGATAAGAGAATGCAGTCACAAATATGACAAATTGAGTGTATAGGACTTAATTACCAGCTGACTTTGTTCATAGAATTAGTATAAATACCCGTACCCAGCTCTATATGAGAAAGTCACGTGAAATTTAAATGCTCAAAATGAGTTGTAAGCCATTCGGAAACTAGTATAAAAGATTTTAAAACTTCCGATTGTAATTCAATTCTTTGTTGAATCTGACCAACCTGTTGATTAGGTGATTGCGTTCTATAAGTCAGAACTAGAAGACCAAAAGTTAGACAAACAGAATACATTTGATATTCCATTTCCCACTATATACATAGGGATTTAAATTCATAATAAAATGATTGAGAATTGTTAAGTCACTTGTTAATTTAAATGAGCAGTTGGTACGATAGTAAAGTAGTTCAACTAGCAAAAAGAATCTCATCAATACAAGAGATAATTGTCGGAATATTAAAGTGTTGGTTACAGAACATACGGTAACCAGGGTGATTGAAGTGAATCTGAGATCTCCTTAAGTGGCTAAGTTTAGTAGCTAAGTTGACAAAACTCAGTCGAGAATTCCTGGTTTAAATCATACTATAAACCAGGTTTCTAAACCAGTCATTAACCAAGTAACGAAATACCCTAAAGCAATCTTATTGACATTTATGCACCAGGCAATGAGCCATAACCATTGTATGAAGCTTAATGATATTACCTGTTTACTCCAATCCCGATAGGTGGAGCGTTGTTCTTACTTGAAGTCTATTGGCTAAGAGTCAACCTTTACAGCCAATGAGACACAACTTCACGTCACTCAAGTAGCCAAAGAACAGAATGTATAAAAAACACCAGAGGCAAGAAACCGAAGACAAATAAAAGATAGTACAGTTGTGAAAAGTCCAAAGTTTTATCGTCATTTGTCTCTGGCTAATGATGTTTTCCATCCCAAGGACTCCACCTTTATAGCCGATAGATAGTCTTAAAGCGTACGGTTGACGATATACGTAAGATATACGTTAGTAAGTTAGCACTTCCTTTAGTCATCAATTCACCTTACCTAGTACTACACTCTTAACTTCCACGTTAGACGATAGGCCGTAATAAAATCATTTGAAGAAATTGATGGCCATCCTCGGGATATCTTTGGTTCATAGTTAGCAAAATTTGCAGATATATGTAAGGCATGACACCACTTCTATACTACAATCTCTATCGTTAGTGAGCAAGAATATCTCATAAAAATCTGAACTGACAGATATTAGAAGAGTTGAATTGAAAATTTCACGTTTGCATCAATATTTGACTTGAAACACTACTTAATTGAGCACTCCAATATAGTTAGATGGATCGGTCGAAATATCAACCGTTCTGGGTTCCACTGCTAGTCATCAAGATGATTACAATATCAATCTATAAGTGAGTCGTCATCACATAGTAACGCAATATCAAGTTAAGTTCTCAAATACTATCAGTTTTCATAGTACTTACCAGTAAGAGGTCAAGCATACACAGCTTTAAAATCCTTATACGTTAAGTCCATCAGTCGATTATTAATCATTGACATGAAATAAATAGATTTATCATGCAAAACGTCAGCAATGACGTTCACAACACTGGGAAAATGTGTAAAACTTATGGACAGTTATTAACTTCAGTTTCTAAACCATAGCAAACAGTAATTTACTTTAAAAACAGTTAGTTAAACTAAACAATGCAAATCATATCCATAGTCATTCACAAATGAAGTACACAACTTACTTTTAATAAATCATCGAAGCCAAGTAGATGCAGTTCATACTGTAAATATACTCGTAAATTTATATTTTCCGGTGAGTGAACAACGATATTGAGGAACTGCACACAAGTTACCTTCAAACAAATGTAAAACAAAATAAAGATATGAGTTTTTGGCTTTAAAGTACCTATGGTAAAACACAGTGGCGTTTATAAACTGTATTAAGATGATACACAGTGTATCCATTCACGTCGTTGTGAGCAATTTTGAGTCATACCATCATAAGTTTCCGATCATTGGTTCTTATCTATGAGAAACCAAAATATAAATGTTGACAGTGGACATCCCTGGTGGAGATTACTGATTCACAACGATCCCCCGAATCGTGAATTTCAGTAAAGAGCTTTGGTTAGCACCACAAATTTGCTCAATGTTACCTTCACAGTCAGACACTGTTATAACACCTCTCGATTAACAAATCAAATACCATCTTTAGGTGAGGAAATATGACGCGTTCCAGACACCTGCAGTCGAGGGGTGATCGATACACCGTCAATGAAGTTTGAAATCTGCTTGATTTCCTAAAGTTTGTTGCTACCGAGCTCTAATTAGGTGTCGATTAACTACGAACCCTAAGATCTTGGATGCTACCTCAGTCAAATTAATTCCCATGTGGCCTTTACAGTAAGACTTCCCTCCTTTCTTATAAACTGGATTGACCAGTAATCTAAACTGGTCTGAAAGTACTACTTTTAATCCTCGCACACAAACCATTACCTCAGAAAGATATTTATTACCTTTCTACTTGCATCCGTAAAATCTCCTAGCAGAAAACCGGTAGGTCTTGGCTTCTGCGTTTTATTTTAGGTTTTAGGCAACTTCAAATTAGGGGGGTTGAAGGACCAATACATACATCACATTCAGGTTTGACCTGAGTCCAGGGCAGTTAAAGCATACTTGAGAGTTATTGAAAGTGTTCCGCTCAAGGTTCCCGCAGTTTATCTTGAAGGGTTACTACAGCCCTTCCAGCCATCATCTTCCTCCTCTCGGATTTTATAATAAGAATAGATAACTGTCGACTGTTACCTAGCGTTAGTGTCTTCTTTGTTTTATTTGGCAAAATAACCCACCATTGTCTTTAGTTAGGAAGAACTCTAAGTCAGTTACCGCTTGAGTCATTTTTGCAACTCAGAATGTTCAGAACAAACCAAAATAATCCCAGAGATGAATAGATGTACTACTAAACTACTAGGCCAAACTATTTCTAAAAAAATTGGCAGTTAAATAATTACTAACCTTCTTCCACCTTCTTTACATATTTCAAACTAGTAACAAAAAACAACTTTTTCAACGTTTGCACGGACTGGCAGAAGTAAAACACAGCTCATAAGCCATATAGAATTTCGACCTAAACTACAGGCCATGTTTAATGTTAAACAAAAAGCTTAACTGTGTGGATATAAATGGTTACAGTAAGTTCGAACTTGTAACACTGGTTGATTTTCTACAATATTGCACCACAAGCCCAGGAAACCTAAGAAAAACTTACTAGATATCCCTAAACAGGATACTCTAACTAACCTTTGTTAGCAAAAAAAGAAAAGTGGTGAACGGCTATCGTTATACCACAACGATCAAATTTTAAGGAACTCACTGCAAAATCCATGTTATAATTTTCCTCATCAAGCGACTCATGATATCTGAATGCCGCCAGAAGAAGTTCAAATCTTAGTCCCTCGCCCATCACAACTCGTAACCTGTCGAATGATTGCAAAACTTTCACATGTCCACCTTCAATCAAGCACAGTGCAGTCAAAATATCCAGCGCAAGTGTTTTTGTCCTATGAGGAAAGTTTAGAAGAAAGAAACCAGAATGAAGACTGGTGCATTTAACTGCATTGAAGTGGCGTAATATTGTACTTTATAGTTGAAACCTGACTTTAGATGAAATGAGAACATACGACATTTTGTATACACAACTTTATTATTTCGCATACGTAAAGTGGGTCAAAGTGGTTGAGCTTAAGTAACAGTATGTAGCTCAAAGCGCGTGAACCACTTGAAACTCCAGACGACCGATTGAAATGACTGCAACTTAAGCCCACATAAACAACCACAAAATAAAACGCAATGACGTTTCATAATTTAAAACAAGGTATGAAAGAGGTTGCGAAGCTGTATTTGGGTTCACTTCTAATAAAGAAAGTGAGGAAACTACAAAAATAACTTTAGCACTATTAAAAACAAATTATGACATTGTTTGATAGTAGCTGTGATTGGTATTCAAAACGATCGATTCATCCTACTTGTAACTTGCAAAAGGTTATATTCCAGCATCCACTTGTAAAATCAAAGTACCAACACATTGAGTAGTTCATCTCTTGAAGCCAAGAAACAAGCATTAACAGTAAAACAATTACTAGTATGCACCAACTTTAACACCAACCAGCCATGATAATGTAAGTGGAACAAAATTCATTACAAATGAACGGAAAAATAAATATTAAGTAATCAATAAACTCACGAGTAATTAGGATGCAAGAGGCAAAACGTAAGTAAACTGATAACGAGTGGATTCTCCATAGCTCGTTTGCATCCTTTCTGAATCGATCAGGAATACAAGATAGTACAAAAACTAACCTGGTTATTCAATATGGCCTTCAAGCAACGGAGACATAGATGCAAACTGTCTTTCAAGAATTCCAAGAACGTTGGAGTAAGTGAACAACCTTTCAACGAACCACCATTGTGAAGTATCAACATGGGCATAACTCCACTGCCTAAATTACCTTGAGGATTTACAAACGTTATCAACCACTAGTACTTGAACATGACTGTGTTGACTTCATACTATTGCTGCGAATGTAGTTCGGAATTTCTGCAGAGCAAGATATTTCGTAACGAGCCCGATAAGTTTCGGTAGAAGCCTTACTCCCACAATACTTCCGTTGCCCAAATGACGCATCCTGGCTGAAAGAAGTCTAGAAGATTCCACCATACTTACTCAGACAGAAAGTGCAGACACTGCAACATTAAGTCAGCCAGTGTTTCCAAACCTTCATAATCTAAAAAGTCATAAACCCATCTACAATTTAACAACACCAAGGCAGATTACTCAACATTATTGGTGCGCAATGAAATTTCGACGGAAGAGAGAAGTGAACGGAAAGCTGAACAATCAACCTTCTTTTTCTAGAAATACATAGGTAGTGAAATAACAGACAAACCCAAATGTACTCAATCCTGCTGCCTTTTAAAAGAGTAACATAGTGGAAAGCTGAGCGCCTAGGGTTTTTCGACTCCTAGGAGACTGATAGAAAAACATTCACCTTACATAGTTGAATAGCAACTCCGTTTTCTTGTTCTCATCTAACAATTCAATCTGCTTTATATGTTCAGCTGATACATCAAGTGAATTCATAAACGATTTCCAACGAGTTTCGAAATCTTTGACATCACCAGCGTTTGCTACCTCATCTCGACCACTTGAAGTCTGATGTTTCTCTAAAGCTTGAGCATTCCCCATTTTCAAACACACCAATCAAAAGTGTTCATCCCCAGGGAACGCGAGACCTCCTGAGATTAGCAATGACCTACAACATATTTGAAGTGAACTCACTACATTAACCACTTATCAACTAGTTAAAAAAACTACAAAGGAAGCTAGTACGAGTCTCATCTACAACATCTTGGACATTCTGATTTATTATCTCACTAGCCTATTGAAGTGAATAAGTTTTACGAATCTTTCAACGTTCTCTTTTAATAAATCAGTCTCAATTTTAACGGAAAAAGCCAACTGTTAAAGCTATACAACCGCGGGGTTACTTTTACTCACAGGACTTTGCTACTATCAGTAGACGGGAAGTGTAGCTTTTAACTAACTACCACCGTCAGTCTCCTACCCGGCAACTGTGTGATAGGTCGATCTGTCTCTGTCACATGCGACATTTGTGAACTGAGGACTTGTTGAATGCCAATTGAAAACCCTCGGAATTGGTATCCAGATGGCCAAAGGGATGCTGACAACCCATTTTGAGGACCATTCATTTTGTTCGTTCTGTTCATTTCACCTCCACTGTCGTTTATCTTTTTTTTTCGCAGCATTGATGGACTTGGATATTACCAACGAGTTGCCTTCGGTTAATTCTCATTCGGAAAACTCTCTGACCATGTTGCGCTTACTCGATAGTAATGGGAGCTGCAGTCAGGTTGCCTAAAAAATCCTTAATAACCTCGATTCATTATGATGATCAAGTTTAGTCAGATGACCATAAATATAGATGCCGCAGAATCATCAGTTCTTCAACCATCACTGCTCGCCGACTATCTCGATCATAAGTCTACATTCTATCGCAGGTTGTGGTAGCAATTGGAGCCTAAAACCCAGCCCACGAGCAAGAAATACTGAAATAATAACGCAAAGTAGTCAAATGCTCAACAAGCTTGCTGGTCAACGCACACTGAAGCCGAAAGTGGGCCAGCGTTTAAGTTCAAGATAGGCACACTTTCAGCGCGAAAAAAGCGACCACAGATGCCGCCTCGTGACTTGTCTCCCATGTGAGCAGTTCTCGTGTGGTTACCATCGATTTCCAGCAAGCCCATCTTTAGCCGCAAGCTCCTCCGGAGGAACTTGAATAACCCTACATTGTTAACAAAAGACACAAGCAGCAACCCTCCCTGCAGCCATGGGGGGGAGTCGTGACAGCGAGGTGGTGACCTCCCGCGGACAGACACAACGGCGTGCTATCGAAAGACAGTCAAACGGTCGCCATCTCCCAGGCCGATCACTTCATCTTCAAATACTGGGCCTACTCTTCAGACTTATACTACCACACATCATACAATGCAGTGCCGAAGACGTAAGCCTCAGCCATGGCGTACGATACTACTGAGGTTGGACCCTTCCATATTTTTTAGGGTTCCTGCTTCCCATCAGAGTTTTCTAGAACGAGGATAAACGCCTAGCATCAGTTGTGCAACGCCGTATGCAGCCAGTCACTCTTACATAGACCTCGACCAACGAGCGTAACAACGAACCGGGTAAGGAAAGCAAAAATGCTCCATCTTGCATTTTTCGCACATAAGCTACCAACTGATCATCTGAATTACGGTGGGGACCGGATCAACCGAGGTCAGCATGATAGAGATCTTTGGCAGTGCCGTTTCAGGAAAGACCAGCAGCAAAGGGCATTCAATGGGTGGTGGCCTACAGTCTATCGCACCCCTGGGTGTGATAAAAAAAGCCTCAGCTTAGTTGACATTTCTTAACTTCGGTTGTTCGGAAGCCGTAACCAATATTCTGCAGTTATGACGCAAAGTCTAGGATACTGTTAGTGGAAACCTTCGCTGCGGTGAGAGTAGACTTGGAAATCTGTGGTATTAGCCTCACTTCCTATTCCGGTCGCCTCTCCCGTGTGCTGACATGGTCAGGGCTGCATTGATAACCTCGAATTAACAGTGGCGGTAGAAACCGCTTTTGGAATAAAAATCTTGCTGAACAGTAGCCGCTTCTTACAATGTCGCAGAAGGCCCTCTGCCCCCAGTAGCGGTCAAAACACCTTGAGTTATGAGAGGCATCTTCAGGCGCCTTAGCAGCATCGCGAACAGACTCAGAGATTTCCTTCTCGATCTCGCGCTGCATCCGAAATCGAAGTCCCCACGGAAACCTGGCTATTATCTCATGTCAGGTTTACTAGGATGAGTGTTTTCGGAGGATTCATGTTGAGAAGTTGAGAGAAGCATGGGGGGAGGTGAATTATCAAATGTACGGGAGTCACCAGTCTGTAGGTGAGCGAACTACTCACGTTGTACCCAGGGAGCTTCCGCACCCACTCTCGTGACACTTTATGACCCTGCACACCAAGCTGTTATCAAGAGAAGCCTACCGACATTTCTGCCAGCGATATGAATCAGAAGCAACAACTACCTCAAGTCATATATACGGTCACACCCATTACGTTCGACTAAGCTATCATAGCCAGAGATTTTAGCGCCTTAACTCTCATCTTAGGATTAGATAGTGCCAGGTTAGGCCGGGTATTTAATGGAGACCCATTGAGTATCTCTGAATACGTTGAGTTGTGTTACGAGTTAGTAAGTGATAGTCGTCAGGGGTTGTACGGTAATCGATGGAACTATCACCTCTGTAAAGAGACCGTCCACCACTAAAGGACTTACATATTTCGACTCCTCTTACCAGTCACGATTAGGCCGAGGCAATGTTCGATCTGGTAGTCGGTGGACGAATATCGTAGGCGACCCCTCACCCCTCTAAATCTATTTAGAGATGAACAAACTGGGGATGAACCACTGCAGTCTGGTGTGGGCGTAATCTCGAAAGGGGAATCCACCATCAACAGAATATGACTAGGGGTCGGTAAGAGACAGAATCGATAGAGAGGGAGGGGATCCCCTTGATGACAACACCTCCTCAACCGTGGACCTCAATGTTAAGACGAATCACTTTATTCTTCTTGCAACCGAAGGTTGTAGTAAGATATCAGTGAGGGGTTTCTAAGAGCGCGTCAGGTCGGAGAGCATATGTGGTCCATAGAAACCTATATAAAATGAAGATGCGGAGGGATAAGCAGTCTTCCTAGAAAAGGCTTTTCCAGAAATGCCCGGAAGACCAAAGAATCCATGCCGATTTAAGTCGGGTTGAATGTCAAACCTGCTAGCCAATGTGTATGAATTATTAGATTGACTTGGGCTTGGAGAACCTCCTGACGCCTTAGCCCTTCAGTCAGCCGTACGTATCAACAGGTTGAACAGCTTCCGAAGTATTCTAATGTAGATATAAACTTCGCAGACAAATAGAATGGTTCTTGAAAGGCAGTCAAATCTTAGTGCATAAGGATCCTCAGAATGTCGAGAAATTCGGCCGCCTGTATTGGAACATCTAAAGACACCATGCGTGGAGGAATATGCGACCTTTTCTGGCAATTCTCCAGCGAACACCAGCTTCAAAGAAAGTGGAGACGCCTCACCACCTGTCTCATCTTTAGAGGAGAAGACAGACAAAAGCCAAAGTTCCGCTGATCTATGGCCCGTCTATAGGTGTTGTCAGCAGTAATAGAGAACCTCATAGACGGCCGTATCGTCGTTCGTCTGGGCAGAAAAGGAACGTCATAAGAAAAGTGAGAGTAGAATTTGGGTGCCACTAATCAGGCGAAATTCCACCAATTTCCGTCGTTCACGTATATCACAGGGTGCGGTGGTGTCACTCGTGATCATATTTCATCAATGATTACCAGTGGATAAAACCATGTAGTCCATAAAAATAACTACAACATGGACGTTAAAGTTTCAACATGCTCCAGAAAGCGCAGACCCCCCGCTTTCAGGTATCAGGCGGTCTGTAGTAACTGGAACCCCAAGATTCCTAACCACGTGTCATTTCAAGATCTGATCGAGACTTCCGTTGTTGCAGGCCATCCTCCATTGATAATGCTCTTCCATGCCGTAAGATCGCAGTCAGCATACTTTTTTTCCTGTGTATGCGACTGCCTCACTCATGCATGGGGAAAGACTTGTGCCTCATCTTGACTGAAGCGGTGTCAAGCACTCGGGAGATACCCCGAAACAGACGTGGTACTACAGTTTGTGTAAACAAAAAGCTCATCTCATCTGTGGCTCTTTCCCAAGTTCTAGAAGGCCTACGTGAGACTACGTTTGGAGGTTCATATTGTCGTCCCACTATCAAACCTGAAAAAGGATGGGAACCCTATGCAGACGGCCCGAAGATGGGCCACAGATTGAGCTGTGGGAATGCGGCGAAAATTGTAGGGGAATAGATTAAATGACTCAGGCCCCCATGTCCTTCGTTAGGGCACAATACTTGATAACTCGATAATGTCTGGCATAATTCTAAGTAACGCATGCTGCCCTGTCAAAGAAGCAATGCGCTGATAGTCACTGTGATCACCCCTACGGGGACTGAGATAGAACCTACCACCCAGAATTGCTAATCCAACGCAGCCACTTACCTCTCCACAAGTCTTCAGCCGCTGTTGCACAGGACCTGCTTAAGTGCCCACTGCCCTCTCCACTAAAAGCCTAAAAGAAATTTTAGAGATGCACAGAGATAAAAAGAAAGCTGTCATTCAATTGAGACGCTGACTAGAATGGGGTCACCAACCGGTGTCACATGAGTCCTAAACTTTCGACTGCCTTCACGCCTATTATCTTTCACTGCCACTCATATCACGGACCTTTATCATTCTTCTGACCTTCTCAAATGACCACCTGCCCCTTCCCACCAGTAAATCCCCCACTGTCCTGGTTACCACATTGTTGACAAGGTCGTGACTATTACCATTTCCAGCATCCCAGGTGCGAAACTTCTTGCCCATTCTACCCTCTCCTATTCTTCATTGCCTAGTTCTGATGATTTCAATTCTCCACATCACTGTTTTCCCCTTCACTCATCTCTGAGTCCGCTCATATTTCTCTTTCTCGTTTTCCGCTTGGATTTACTTGGTTATTTCTGAAATTCCATTGCCCTTTTTCGGCCATTTGGGACAG